GAAAATTCTTTAGTGTTGTTGGTTGCCCTGATGCCCTGTGTCTGAAACTTGTGACTGGGTGCTGGGCATTTGGAGGCTGCCAAGATTTCTGTGGAACATGTTTGGGATCAGGTGCTTTGTTGCCCATGCTTGGTTCAGCATCCGTGTATAGATTGATGTCCACCCTGGATGCAGTCTGGTGGAAGAGCACGTACGATGGACATAACAACGGTATGGACCTTGCCGGAAATAGGCAGCAGCCCATCAGGACCGCCAGCTCAGAGCCCAAGCCGAATGAAGTAGCCAGATTTATGATATGATGCTGAATCTTTTTAAAAATGCTGGATTTTTACCATTCCATCCTGATTACAAAGTTGATTACTATAGATGGTTTAAAAGAATTTACTGAAGATGGATTCCCAAGATCCCATTTTCATGTAAAATAAGCTGTGGGTGACTGTCATTGTCTCCTAAATAACTCAATGTTTTTTTGCTGTGGTGTACAGAGCGTGATTATTTGCTGGAACGGAGTTTCCTGTCTTGTTGTCCACGCTGGATTCGCAATGGTGCCATCGTGGCTCAGCTGAAACTTGCCTGCCCAGCAGTGATTCAAGCGATATCTGCATGCCTTCAGTAGCTGGTTTCTTTTGTGTTGTATGCCATTTTGTCTGCTTCTCGTTACCTTTTGTTTTGTATGTATGGAGACTGTTGTTTTTCACCATGGTTGGCCAGGCTGGTTCCGCTGCCTGAGGCTTCAGGTGATTGTCTGGCTGCGCCCTCAGATCAACCTCCCAAGAGGTGCGGGATTACAGGCATGGAGGCACCGTGCCTGGCTGATATTTTCTCTTAATGTGCTTACCCATATATTATAACCAGTTTTTAGTTATCACTGTGCCTTTTGAACTTGGAGCCAGTTAATATGTGTTCCAGTTTCCTCTTTACATCTCACGTTATAGTTCCTATATGTTTCTTTCCTTTCTTCCTATGTATCTTTGGAAACGTGCATCTCTCTGAATGTGTTGTGTGTGTGTGTGTGTGTGTGTTTGTGTGTCTTTCTTTTTTAAGCCCAACCCAAATCTCCCCTTTTTAATAATTCCCCAGCCCCCATTTCATGTCCAGTAGGGTCACGGCAAGCTTCAATACTCACCACCTTCCTCACAAACAAAATCCACTTTTGGCTCCAAGCGTGGAGACTACGTGGAAATAGCACACGACCATTTGTAGGAAGTTTGGCCAGGTTAGTCATCACAGGATTTTACTGGAGTAATAGAAAGAAGAACAGAAAAAATTTGGCTGTAGAGAATAACAGATGCAAGCCAAAAGCAATTGCAAAGTTCAGGGGATCAGAGTCTGTAGGCAGCTTCACATCTGGGTGGGCGCCAGGGGCTCCGCAGTCTCCTGTTGGGTGTACGACAGCGGCAGAGATGCAGTCCCCTCTGAGGCATAGCCGGGCCTCACGAGATGTGTAGAACACTTCCGCTCGCCCCAGCTCGCAAAAAGATGTCCTTGTCCCTTTTGTGGATACGCTCACCAGATGCAGGACAT